TGGATAGCCTTTGCCAGCATGTGGTACTTCTGTTTTCGGGCTTTCTCATCTCTTTCATGGTACACCTTGAATGCCAGCGCCAAGACTTCTGACTGTGGAGTTAGGGGGCCCCTCTCCAATCACCTCAGTTTAGCTTTTATGTCGGGGTAGCTCTGGGGGAAAAAAAAGTAGGTCATCAGGAGTTGCTTATCTTCTGGGTTTTCAGGGTCCAAATTAGTATACTACAATAAAGCCTTTGTAAGGCATTCTAAAAACTGAGGTGGGATTTCCTGTTTGTCCTGGACAATCTCTTGGAGTTTTTCAAAGTTTACTGGCTTTAAGGCTGTCTTTCTTAGGCCTGCCAAAAGACATATTATAAATCTATCTCTGGCTAAGACACCACCTCTGGAATTATAATTCCATGGAGGATCCTGGTCAGGAACTGCTTCAGATCTGATTGGATATGTTCTATCTGTTTGATGAATCTGATCTGCATGTGTTTTTGCCTCTTCTCAAACTCACCTGAGTTCATCAGTACATAAATTGTTAGTGAGAATCATATGAACATCATGGAAAGTCAAGCTATTAGATTGAGTGATGTACTGGAACTCTTTAATAAAGACAGAGGAATTAGAGGTTTAGGAACCCAGTCTGCTCTCTATTTGAGAAAGTTCACTAGTGAGAAAGGGACATGTAATCTGACCAGGCTGTCAACCCCAGCCACTTCCCTTAGAGGGAGGACAGATGCTGGTTTATGTGTCCCTGGAGGAGAAGGAATTGTAGGTTTGGTTGTGGCCTTAGAACTCGTGATAGGAGGGGTAAAGGTTGATGCCAATGCAGGGTGATTAGTATGGCCTGCAGCTGGCACAGAAGGAGGGGTGGGATCTGGAGTGGTCGAGTTAGTAGACTCTGAGGTATCCTGGTGGGAAGAAGAAACCAAGGTAGCAGTTTGGGCTTTTGGTGGCATGGAAACAGGTCTGCAATGGAAGGGAGGAGGTTCATCAGCTGTATCTAAGGGCATGGTGTCATCTAATGGGGATAGAGTAGGTTTCATGGCTAAGAGAACCTGGGGTATGGAACAGGCAGAACACATAGAAGGATTAAAACAAAGGTAGATAAATGCTTGGATGTAGGGAACCTCTTTCCATTTACCAGACTGCTGGCAGTATGTGTGGAGACCCTTTAAAATGATTTGGTCTAGCGTGCCATTAGGTGGCCACTTTAAACCATTATCTAGAGGGTACCAAATCTAGACCTTATTGCAGAGGTGTTATCAATTTGGAAGGCCTCAAATCAGCAATAATTTTACAGATTTGAGGTTTTTCAGGAGACAACCCAGTGGAGTGTCTGTGGGTGCAGTCGAAGACAATGTAGTACCCAATGGGTGACAGTGGGCTGTTACTAAGCTATTTGTATTGGCATCCTGAAAGAAAAGTTGGTAATGAAATCAGGCAAGCAGCCTAGATATCAGGTCATCACGAAAATATCTAGGGGCCTCAGCTGTGATGAATTCCCGAAGATCGCCAGAAAGCAGTTCAACCTGGTATCAGAATTTCCGGCTGCTGTAAGAGCTTTGGGGGCTGTGAACTACTTTCGAGGAAGGGAGTCACCCAATGCCCAATGTCCTAAATCATATGTCAGCTAGAGGCTAGTCATATGGACTAGGGCAGTGAAACACCAACCCCTCAGCCCAGGGAAGGCTAGCCAGGCCCTTTCTGGGTGTTCAGGGTCCCCCCTGCCAATTGGAAGCTCATTATCAATTAATACGCTGGTGTGTGTTTGCAGGCTTGTGCAGTCTGGTGTCATGAAAGGTGGAACCATGAGGTCTGTGTAGGCCTGGCTGGCTGTCCAGCCCATGTGGCAGAGCACCACATGGGGGCTGCAGTGGCACAGCTCACGGGTGGAAGTTTTGTGAGACTCGGCTGCAGATGGAGTTGGTCTGCAGCAGTGGTAGAAATTCACACGGTCAGTGATGGCAGGTAGCAGCGGAAGGAGTCCACGTGGCATAGCAGTGGCAGCAGCGGGGGTGGCAGGGTTGGTGGCTGCAGCAGCAAACCATGTGGCTTCGGTCCTGCACGGTAACAGCAGCTGGTGGCTGGCAGGAGCTGCACAGCTGGTCACAGTACTTGAAGTATTCTGTCTTGGCCCAACAATGAACCAGTGTTAGACTTTGGCGCCCAGCTTAGAACAGACAACACCGGACCAAATGGTTCCAGGGTGAGGGGGTTATTCAGGAGATAGGACAAAGGTGGGGGGGGGAAAGAAATGGGAGAAGATGGTGGAGAAAGAGAGCTAGGTCAGAGAGTTTTGCCTGTTTAATATGGGCAGTGACATAGCCTTTCCCAGGTAAAGGTGAGGTAGCCAGGTGGATTCTCAGAGTGTATGGCAGTTGCCTTGGCAACAATGTGGGGGTCTCCTAGATGTGATGTCACTGGGTTCCAGCCTGATACCAACAATGTCTAACTAGAAGCTTTACTCCTACTGACTAGTGTCCTTTGTAGTGAAAGATACTCTGCATTGAACCAGAGGGGTATCTACCAATGTAGTATAAACCCTGTGATTTGAATGATTGTTGGAGTAAGCAACTTCAATTTATGGATTTAAGGCCCACTCATGAGATTCAACACATATCTAACATTACTCTGGTGGCCAAGAACCTGAGACCAGATAGGGCATGGACCAAGGGAAAAGTCTTGTATCCTCAGATGCAGTATAGCATTTCCAGATACTTTTGTTCTGCTAAAGGAATCCAGCAATTAAATGACTCCTAGTGACATTTCTGCAGTGTCTTGCTTAGTCATCATTAGAGATGCTTTTTCCTGTAATGGATGGGAAAAAATAAAGAGACTCACAAGTGGACAAGGTACAGAGAAGGGGAGACCTTGGAACACTCAGTTTTAAAAGGAAATTCTTTATCAAGCTCTTCCCTGAGAGCTCAGGGATCTTTGAGGAAGAGGAGATGGAATGGTTGTGAAAGTCTGAGTGGATGGATAACAGAAAGGAAACTGTGTCTTCCAGACACAACAGTAATGATACACATATGAACTAACAGAGATTGTGGTACCATGGTCTATCTTGTAGTTAGTTGATTAATGATATACATCTGGAAATCTTGTCTCCATGCATAGATTAGAGTGGCCTAGAACTTAAGTACCCAAGGTTGGCTATAGTCTTTTGGATATCTTGTTTCTATCTCTCCAGTTCTGGAATACAGATATGAATCTCACTCTTAGTCATGATATTTCGTTTAATTTTCTGTTTCTTGTACTTTACACATAATACTGTATTTATGATTAATCTCATCTATACTCTCATAATTCACTAGCCTAAATTCAATAACCTGATGATTATTTCATGTCTGTTGCTATTGATGTTCCTTCACACTCAAACATATTTTTACTTTAGTTGTGAATGATCTCTGATGTTGTGGTCTACTGGTTTTGGTAAATTTATTAGTTGCTTTAGGGTGGCTGTGCCCCCTTCTGGAGAATTTTTGAAGTGTGAGCAAGATCATATTTAGTCAATTTTAATCCGGCTAATTTCTAGACTTCTCTAGAATATGCCTTTGTGGAATAATTCCTTTTGATATTGCTTGTGTCTAGGCACGATGAGGTGAAAAAACCTGGTTTGTTTTATTCTCTGCCGTTTCCCCAAAGTTAGAACCCTCTTAAAGTTCCCTGAAGTTGTATGAAACATCATGGTTAGTTTCTGTTGGGTTTGCCTTTACCTTGAGATTAGATCTTCTTTGATCCTGGTCTTAAGCTAGTGTTCCCCAGGATTTCCACAGGGCTAATTTGGGCTTCTCCTTGCAACTCTGTCCCATGTTAATCTTGGATGTTGGGGCCCAAATGTCTGAGGCACTGTTATGTCCTTACTATAAGAGTTGATTTGAGGATGAGAGACAATGAACAAATTCAGCTTTAATTGTTTTTGACTTTCCTCTTTCCCTTCCTCTGGGTTCTGGTACCAGAATGCTTCTCATGAAGATATCCGACTGGCCTGGTGTGGGGGTTTGGGCCAAGGGGATTGAGTATGGGCAGGGAGAGGGAATCACCTCTGCTGCCTCCACTGCTGCCTGCCTCTACCTACATTGCCACCCAGTTGTTCTCAGGTGCTGCTCCTATCGCTCTGGGTGAGCGGGGTCCTGCCTGAGCCAGTGAGAAGCTGGCTAGCTAGCAAGGAGCATTGGAAGGGTTATGAAGGTGCTTCAGGAGAGCAGATATCTTCCCAAATGTTACAGCTCTTGCAACAGAAACTTGGATAATGGGATGATTCTCTCATACCTTTACTTCTCCCGAATAAGGTTCTTATATACAGTTTTGGGGTTGATTAGGGACTGGCAGCAGATAACTCCTATTGGCTTGGTCTAAGAGTTTGGAGATACCTCATCTATATGTGGGAGAGTCTGAGACACTGTTCCTACCTGACTGATGGCCATAGACCCCTCTGGAGGAGGGGCTGTGGAGGGCTTAGGCTAAGTGAGAGGCACCTTGAGGCCCAAGAGTACGGCAAACTCCTACCGTACCTTTATGGTCTCTGGGGTTTGAAGCAGACTCAACTGGGTACCCCACTGCCTCACACAGCCCTCTGCCCACATCTTCCTCTTCATTACTATCTTTTATAGAACATTTTTCTTATTCTGTTTTTTTTTGTGTTCTTGTGATTTTTCTCAGCATATCTTATCATGTTTTCTAGAATAATCAATCTGAGATAGCTCTGCTAAAGTTTCAATAAAAGTCACCTGATTTAAATATGTCTTGGATTTTAACCCAAACCTATTAGATCCTGTACTAGATTTCTGTTGGTGATGGATAGCCAATCACATTTAGTGTATTTTTATGCTTTCTCTGATGGCATTTTGACTGTTGATTGACCCCAGGCACTCACACACACACTGTCTAGGAATTTGTTTCTCATTTTCTGTCTACTTTGCATGGTTTCCTCCAGCCCAGTCCAGCCCAGCCCAGCTGCTCAGAATTTATAAACCAGGCCTTTGCATTGTGACTGAACTGCATCAGACAGGCAAGGGGAGCAAGATGGAATTACAGACCCAGGTTCTCATGTTCCTGTTGCTCTGGGTAACTGGTAAGAAATTTAAAGTTTTAAAATATTTTCAAAGTTTCATCTTTGTAATTAGAAACATACAATATGTGTCAGTGTGCAATATTTCTTGCATAATAATGTTCTGATATTATGACATTATAAGGACATTTAAATGACAAACTTCAACTGTTATTATAATCTATGTTTGTGTATGTATGCATGTTCACTGTGTACTCATTATTTCAGGTACCTGTGGGGACGTTGTGATGACTCAGTCTCCATCCTCCCTGGCTGTGTCAGTAGGAGAGAAGGTCTCTATGAGCTGCAAGTCTAGCCAGAATCTTTTTTACAGTGGAAACCAAAAGGACCTCTTGGCCTGGTACCAGCAGAAACCAGGGCAATCTCCTAAGCTGCTGATATACTTTGCATCCACTAGGGAATCTGGGGTTCCTGATCGTTTCACAGGCAGTGGATCTGGGACAGATTTCATGCTGACCATCAGCAGTGTGCAGGCTGAAGACGTGGCAGTTTATTACTGTCAACACTGTCATGGCAGCTTTATCCCCCCACAGTGCTTCAGCCTCTTACACAAACTTCCTTTAGAGTTTAAACAGCTGTGTACACACACAGCCCTGGGCATGCACACTTCCTCCTTTTGCCTGAGACATGGCATGCTTGAAAAACTGACAAAAAGGTTTACAGAGCCCCCCCCCCAATAATGTGTTCAATGCCCATTGTGTCTCTTGGTATAAAAATTCTATACAGCAAAATGCAGGAAAAAAACACTGTATTATTTTTCTATCCCTTCTGTAACAATTTACCACCAACTCTGTTGATTGACTATGAGGGATTAATCTTTTGATAGTTCTGTAAATCTGGTATCTAATGTAAGACCCTATGAGCTGATGTGCTGATGTTTGTAAACTGTGCTTTGGTTAAGAATGTAGAGAAAAATTTTTTTCATGTATTTTCTAGTTCCTGAAAGGTTTTCATTCTTCCTTAATGGTATCTATCTTTTTCTGAGTTTCCCTTTTCTGACTCTTTTTGTATTCCTTTTATGTAATTTTTTTCTTTATGTACATGTGCCTCTCTCTCTTTCTCTCTCTTTCTCTCTCTTTCTCTCTCTTTCTCTCTCTTTCTCTCTCTTTCTCTTTCTCTCTCTTTCTCTCTCTTTCTCTCTCTTTCTCTCTCTTTCTCTCCCCCTCCCACCCTCCCTCCTTGTGTGTGTACATTTGTAGATGAATATGTGCAATCCCATTTTTGTGGAGATCAGAAAACAACTAGGAGATGATTCTGTTCTTGCCAAATGGCTTCTGGGGTCTCATATCTGTCACTAGGCTTTGGGACAAGTGCCTTTGTCTTTTCTTCAATGTTGCTGCTTCTTAAAATTCTCTATTGATATGTGCTCCTTGTACACAATTTCATAACAGAACATCTTTCAAGTATATCCATATATTTTGATGACATCCACTAACTTTTCCCATTTCATTTACCTTTCCTCTTGTTATAGTGGGACTGTCATTGATCCACTATCAGCATAAATATTGATACAGAGGCTTTTTAATATTTTGAAGCCTAGGCCTTTTGTTGGGCAGTCTCCAAGCTACTCTAACTTGACTAGTCCCTAGCACTCTCTCTACATGGCCAGCTCTAGCTTTGTGCTAGGCTTTGGTTTATCTGTTCACAGCTGTGTACATTGGCTGAATTTACTACATATCTCTTCTTCCAGCATCCCTCTCTCTGCCTGAAAGTTCCACCTTCCACTTCCTGTCTGACTATTGTTTTTTAGATCTCTGTTATAGATACAGTTTTATATTGCCTTAGGAAAGTAAGGAAGAATGAATATTTACAAAATAGAAAACTCAGTCATGGGCCATAGCAATAACAAGAGTCTTTCTGCAGCATTTAGCTCTCTGCCTGTACATGATTAACAACTGAACAAACAGAGACATACTTTTACATTCTCTACCCAAACTTCTTATTTTTTTTCTAGTCTCCTTCTCTCTCTCTCATATTCTGTCTCCTATATCTTAAACATACACACACACACACACATATATATATGCACAAATAAACACCACATACACATATACACATGCACACATGTATAGAATATACACATGCACACATACAGAGATACATACATACACATAAATAACCACATGAACTTTACATAAAACATTTATGATCCACAACAGAGAGAAAATATGATATCTGTTGCCCTTATTTCTGGGGCCACATATAACTCTGAAATCTTTTAATCCATTTTTTTTTTTTTGCCTATGGAGATTGAGATACTAGATAATCCCATCCTGAATATGATCCAGTGGTATAAATGCTCTGTCTTCAGAATATATTGTTGGTCTAGCATTGATTTTAGATTAGAGTAAGAGATGACTGTGGCTATTCACAATGATCTGTGTTTCCTGCTGATGCCTCTCATAATCTTAGCTCTTGCAGCCATTTATCGATGTGGGGTGGAGGCTACTCAGTAGTGTAAATTCTTCTTGAACCCAAGAGGAAGCCAAATCCTTTAACTCTGAATAAGATTCAGTTGCCTTGTCTTCTTGCTAAGGATCACAATGTGAAATTCACTGTTGCTTGAAAACTGATATTGTTTAGATTTGAAAGTATTTCAAAAACTCTCAAATTTTTTACAATAGAGTAACTGTAGAGCACTTATATTTGTCTTACAGTTTTAAAAATTGTTTTTGAGAGAGAGAGAAAGAGTGAGAGAGAATATGAAGTTGGGTGGATAGGAATGAGAAAAGAATCTGGTAGGAGTTGGGGGAAAGGGAAAAATTATCAAAATATATTATAGAAAAGTATTTTGAATAAAAATGGGATAAAAACTGAACAGGGCAGTCATAAAATCTCTTAGAATGTGTTTGAGCCACTCTGTGTATGGTTTTGCCAACCCTAACTACCACTGTGATGGGAGAAGGTGTCCCTCTGATTATGAGCTTTAGGAAGCTGTTTAATGTTGAATCATTAGGCAAAGGCCCAGGATGCCCAAGTCGTCTTCATAGCCTGTGACCTGATGTAGAGCCAGTTCTCAGAGATGAGGTTACCTGCTCTCTTGCTATGGGTGCTGAGTACAAGGAGAGGCAGTGCAACAAAATGTTGTGAACTTCTACAGTAGCCAGGTATGTTTACCATCTCTTTGAGATCTTGGTCATTGGAATCATGGCATTTTAAATTTTTTTGTAACTATCACATTTTTTGTTTTATTTCCTAATAGTTCAGAGTGATGCCTGTGACTATTGCCACAGGTGTCATATGCATCACACTGAGATGGCTTCATTATGCCTGTGACTGTTGTGTTTGTGTATTTATCATTCCAGGCTCAACTGGGGACATTTTTCTGATCCAGTCTTCTGCTTGCTTGACTGTATCTCTGGGACAAATGGACACCATATTATGCAAGTCCTGTGAGAGCATCACTGACCCACTGTACAATAACAGTATGCAGTGGTATCATCAGAACCTGGGACAGCCTTCCATAATCCTAATTTATGAAGCATCCAGTATAGAGTCTAGTATTTCTGTCAGGTTCAGTGGTAGTTCATCTTAGACAGATTTCACACTCACCATTAATCCTGTAGAGGCCAACAATGCTGCAAGTTATCACTGTCATCAGGGTAAGGAGTATACTTCAACAGTTTTCTATATCTACACAAAAATATTCTGGGATTGAAGCTCAATGACATTCTAACTCTCACGTGTTTTTTCCTCTCTAGACAACTCTAGCAAGGCCTTCAGGTTTCTTGAATAAAAGTGTACTGCCTAAATTTATGCCAACTTGATACACAATGGAGCCATCTGAGAGTAGGGAACATTGATTAAATGCCTTCACAAGACTGGTATATAGGCAAGCCTGTAATAGCATTTTTTTTCATTAGTAAATGATGTGGGTTCCTTCCAGTCTGAACTAGTGCACTGAGAAGACCTTGGGCATTAGCTCTACATACAATCCACAACAGCCAGAGGAAGATGTACTTCCAGGTGCTCTAACATACCCAGCATCATAGGTGATTAGGCCACAACATCTGCCCCAACACCAGGAGTAACTGGAACTTCTGGCATCCAAGCATGAAGGACCTTCTGCCTGGACAGTGGTATGGGATCCTTCCCATCTGAGCTGGTACCATGAGCAGACCTTGGGCACTAGCTCCACACCAAGTCCAACAGCACCCAGAAGAATCTTGACTCTGGTGCCCTAACACACCCAGGCACCCAGGATCTCAGGATCTCAGGATCCCAGGATCCCAGAATCACAGGATCCCAGAGATAGCTGGACTCTGAGAAGTTCTGACACAACCAGGATTGAAGGAGGGACAGGGTCTAGTAAGAGACATCAAGGGCAGGTAGTAGTAGAGATAGCCAGATGGTGAGAGGCAAGCATAAGAACATAAGCAACTGAAGCCAAGGTTACTTTGCATCATCAGAACCCAGTTTTCCCACCATAGCAAATCCTGGATTTCCCATCACAACAAAAAAGCAAGATTTGGATTTAAAATCACATTTAATGATGATGATGAAGGACTTTAAGCACGACATAAATGACTCCCTTAAAGAAATACAGGAGAACACAGGTAAACAGGTAGAAGCCCTTAAAGAGGAAACAGAAAAATCCATTAAAGAATTACAGGAAAACACCCAAATAGGTGAAGGAATTGATCAAAATCATACAGAATCTAAAAATGGAAATAGAAACAATAAAGAAACCACAAACAGAGACATCCCTGGAGATAAAAAACCTAGGAAAGAGATCAGAAGTCATAGATGCAATCATCACAAACAGAATACAAGAGATAGAAGAGAGAATCTCAGGTGCAGAAGATATCATAAACATTGACACAACAGTCAAAAAGTGTAAAATGCAAAAATACTCTAACCCAAAACATTCAGTAAAATGAGGACATAATGAGAAGACCAATCCTAAAAATAATAGGTATAGAAGAGAGTGAAGATTCCCAACTTAAAGGATCAGTAAATGTCTTCAGCAAAATTATAGAAGAAAACTTCCCTAACCTAAAGAAAGAGATGCCCATGGACATACAAGAAGCCTACAGAATTCCAAATAGACTGGTCTAGAAAACAAATTCGTCCTGTTACGTAATAATTAAAACACCAATTGCACAGAACAAAGGAAGACTATTGAAAGCAGTAAGGGAAAAATATCAAGTAACATATAAAGGTAGACCTATCAGAATTTCAAAGGACTTCTCACCCGATACTATAAAAGCCATAAGATCCTGGACATATGTCATAGAGATCCTAAGAGAACACAGATGCCATCCCAGACTACTATACTCAGCAAAAATCTCAATCACCATTGATGGAGAAATTAAGATATTCCATGTCAAAACCAAATTTACACAGTATTTTCCACAAATCCAGCTCTACAAAAGAAAATAGATGGAAAACTCCAAAACAAGGAGGAAACTATACCCAAGAAAAAGCAAGAAAGTAATCTTCCTTCAACAATCTCAAAAGAAGATAGCAACACAAACATAATTGCACATATAATAACAAAAATAACAGGAAAGAACAATCACTTTACCTTAACATTTCCTAATTTCAATGGTCTGAATCCCCAGTAAAACCAGGCCCTGAGGAAAAAAGTGTGGGAGAGTGGCCACTCATCTTGTGTGAGGTGGCCAATGAGTATGAAGTGTTTTGACCTTCACCTACAGTAGCTGGTTAGCTGACCATG